AGGACGATTTCTTTATCTACACAAAAGATGTTAAATCTATAGGCTGTCGCTAATAAAAAAAATGACTAATATAGGTGTCACTCAACTTATAAAAGATGATATGCTTCTACCTACATGTGACATATAGAGAGAAGTCAATAGCTCTAACCCTTATGAGTGACAAACTATACCTATCGGTAAAGTTTTAAATAGACTAACATAAACAGGTGATTAGAGTTATTTATATAGTCACAATCTTTAGAATGAAATTAGAAACATCGAGAGAAAGGTAGGTTATGTGATTAGTCATTAGTAGTTATCCCATAACTAAAAATTTCATAATGCACATGAAGTGCCAAAGCTAATCTATTTTATACTAACCCAAACATCAAGATCAATATGATAAACAATATTAAAGTTATAAATAAAGATATTTACATCAGTTTATCAAGAACTAAAATTAGATTAGGATACAAAACTATTCCAATTAAGTTATCATATTGTAAACAAGAATAGTATAAGAACCACCAAGATCATTACAATTTAAAGACATAAGATTAAACAATCTTGAAAGAATTTAAAAGCAAGCATATCACTAAATAAACTTAATGATAAAGCTTGAACTACCAAATATCTAAGAGAGCATACAAAATAACTTACAAAAGACAATAATAAGGACATAAAGTGTTATTTCCCAACAAAAAAAATGTTTGTAAATGTATCATCCAAAGGAAATAACATCTCAATTTATCAAAAAAACCTTTAACAATAATCAATACATTTTAAATCAATGTTGTAAGGGCTAATAAACACTCTTTATGTGTTAACTATCACACTAATCAAAATATATCCCAATTAACAATACTAAAGATTTATAATTGCTTAAGCAAGCATCAGCAACATTTTGCTAATATCTCAAACCTAAAAAACCAATCCAACACAAACCACAAAAAGCATATAGTAATACAAAAATCTAAAAGCCATCAAATATAATAACTAACCCTTACAAAAGGTTGTCAATCCTCCCATCAATAGAGATGAAAAATCCTTATTGAAGAATAATCAACCATCCCAATAACGAAAATCATTGATCATCAATAATAATCAAATAAGATTTTAACAAGGATAATCAATTATCCCAAATAATGATCAATCATCATTAATGATCACTAAATGCAAAAACTAATACAAACATTAGAAGCAAGAAACCAAAATACCTTCTCTAACAACTCCTAAAAATGAAATAATGAGTATAAGAACTCAAAAACCAAATGCTGCAAGAGCTAATAAACACTCCTTTATGCTAATTATCACACCAATTAATTTAAATAAATCTCAGTTAACAATATTAAAGAACTAAAGTTGTCAAAACAAGCATAGCAACATTTTACTAATATCTCAAACTCAATAAATCAATCCAAAGTGAACTATAAAGAATATGTGGTAATGTGAAAAACAAAAACTCTCAAAGAAAATAGCTAAGAATCACAAAATCATCAATCATTTTCATCAATAGAAATTGAAAATCATTGTCAAAGAATAATCCACTAACCTGAAGAATGATAAATTATTGAATATCAATAATAATCAAGCAATATCTTTAACAAAGATAATCAATTATCCTAAATAATAGCTAATCATCATCCTTTGTTATACCATCTGGTAAGCAAGCCTTTAATTTGCCCATTTCTTAAAAAGATAACTTGCAAAATAGAAAAAACATAAGAAAATATAAAAAATTAAAATTTTTGACAATTCTTCTTTTGTTATTAATCATTAATAACTATAGCTTGTGGGGATGGTTTTTGGTGCAAAATAGGTTATTCTCTCATTGGAGGTAGCAAAGGATATACCATTTTACTCTATTTTTCTCTTTGTGAAAATATACCTTCAACAAGACACTAATAATCCAATGGATCAAGAGAAACACTATCATCAAAAGAAGTAATTGTCAACACCACCATAAATTTGGAATATTCATTCATCCTTTAAGAAGCTCATGTGGTGGTAATTTCTATCTAACTTTTAAAATGCATTTTCAAAAATTGAAGAAAAAAGAAGAAAAAAAGCATGTAAAACTCATGTATAAGGTTCAAAGATATATGATCAAGCAGATGTATGTTGCCTGAGGAAATTTGGATCCAAGTATATAGGAATTCATGGAGATATAAAAGATTGTGCTTCTTAAAAACAAGACAATTTTGGCAGAGGAAAAATATGGCAATCCAAGTCAAGAGGTTTGGGATTTAAGAAAAAGCTGGTAATATAAAAGAGAAGTGTTTGTGACTTTGTAAAGCCTCACCTGGGGCTTTTATATTTAACAATGTTTAATAGTGATCTTTAAAAATGTGATAGAACTTGTATCCTGAGTTTAGGAGTTTTTTTGTGTGTTTAAGAGTGGGATGACTTGAGGCTTGCAATATCACATGCAAACACCTTGAGCTGAGTCACTGTGCTCTGAGAGTTTTGGGCATTATTTCTTGGTATGTGGGGAATCAGCATTTAGATGGAGCCCTGGGTGAGACTTCTGCAGTTTTTGGGTCAGGCTGTCAGGCTAGTGACCAATCACAACAAGTTAGATCCTTGGGTGGCACAGGCCTGAAGGTTTTTACAGGAATCTACTTCTGGAACATAACGGTATATGCCCAGAATGGGGATCTCTCTTGCGCAAAAGATGCCTTTGCCCGAGCACAACATGATCCTCCCCTGATCAGCGGCTATGCCCAAAATGCCCAATTAGAGCTGATTGCACCTTCGATTGCATCCCTTGCAAGGACGTCCTGGCGTGGAGCACAAATATCGTGCCCAATGCCCACTGTGGCCAATGCGCTGCCGTAATCGATGGCTTGCGGGAGAGATGCCCGACCAGATCGCCTTCACGAGCATCCTGGCGGCGTGCAGCTGGAGCAGTGCTGCGCGCTCTTCGAATTGATGGTGGTGGGAGCACTACAGCTGCGTCATGGACATGCTGTATCGATCCGGCCGATTGGGCGATGCCGAGGGCCTGATCGAGCCGATGCCAGTGGCAGGGGACGAGATCTTGTGGGGATCGCGTGCCGGATCGACCGCGAGATCGGTGCTGGGAATGAATGGATCGGCATCTCCATATCTCTTGCTGGGGAGCTTGCTAGGCAAAAAGATCTAGGCAAGAATGCTTGGACCACTTTGATACCATGATCTCCTCCGCTCGAGAACTCCCACGCGATGATCACCAATTCATGGAGGAATTCGCAGTGTGCTTGCGGCACTGTGGCGATACCAGCGATCTCGTTGCTGCTCGCGAGACCCATGCCAGGATTCTCAAGAGCAAGCATCGAAGGAGCGTCTATCTTGCGAACTTGATGGTCCAGATGTATGGGAAATGTGGCTGCGTCGAGGATGCGCGCGCGGTGTTCCGATCAATCGATCAGCCCAACGCCTTCTCTTGGAACATCTTGATTCATGCTTTTGCCTCGAATGGGTATCTGCTGGAAGCGAGACAAACTTTCAATGCTATGCAACATCATACACCAGTTTCATGGAATTCGATCATAGCGGCTTATAGTGCTGCTGGGGAGACGTTACAAGCGAATGCCCTTTACGAGAAAATGCCAGTGAAGACCATCGAAGCGAAGAACACGATGATCGCAGCTTTTGCCCGGAATGGGCAAGTTGACAAAGCAACTGAAGTGTTCAACACAATCGCGCGGCCCAATGCAGTTTCTTGGAACACGCTCTTGCGCGGTCTCGCGGATGCCGGGCAGATCGACGCTGCTCGTGAGATTTTTGAGCGAATTCCGGCCAAGGATGTGATCTCTTGGACCGTGATGCTCATCGCGATTGCCAAGGAGGGCGATTTGCCGGGTGCTCGAAGATTGTTTGATCTCATGCCCGATCGAAGCATTGTTTCCTGGACTGCGATGCTCCAGGCCTACGCGGATGCTGGGCTTGTCCAGGAAGCTCGAGAGATCTTCCAAGCAATGCCTGATTGGAACGTTGTGTCATGGAATTCTTTGATTGCAGCTCTTGGGCGTGAAGGAAATGTGGATGAATCAAAGAAGCTCTTCGATTCACTGCCATTTCCAGATATCGTCTCGTGGAATTCGCTGCTCCAGGCCTATGCCCTCAATGGATATATCACTCAAGCTCGCTCCGTGTTTGATTCTATGCCGGGGAGAGATGTGATATCGTGGACTGCGATGGTGGCGGCGCTCGCGCAAGAGGGCGATTTGAAAGAAGCGAAGGAACTCTTTGATTTAATCCCGGAGAAGAACTTGGTGTCTTGGTATGTTCTTCTCGCGGGATATGCCCAAGAAGGGCATATCAAGGAAGCAATACGAGTTTTTGATCTAATGCCGCAGCATGATTATTCTTCCTGGGAAACTTTGTTCCAGGGATTTTGCTGGTATTTGCCCGTGGAAAAATCGGGAGATTTGTTCGAGGAGATGCCAGAAGCTAGCCTCTTGTGCTGGAATTCACTGCTTTCATCGTATGCCCAGGCGGAGTCTATCTTGAAAGTGAGAGATGTTTTTGTGAGAATGCCGTGCCGGAACATAGTATCTTGGAATGTTCTTCTTCATTTCTATGCAAGAATTGGAGATTTGGAACGCACGAGAGAGTTCTTCCATTCGAGAATTCCAGAATTTGATATGGCTTCTCTCACCACAATGGTGGCGGCGTTTTCACAAAAGGGGCATTTGGAAGAGGCCAGAAGCGTGTTTGATTCCATGCCTGAAAGAGATGTAGTCGCCTGGGCAGTAATGTTTAATGGATATTCCCACAACGGGTATCTGGAAGATGCGAAGCGTGTTTTTGATCTAATGCCTCGGCATGACATATTGATCCACACGACAATGCTCTCGGCATATGCCCAATATGGGTATATGCTGGAAGCAAGATTGGTGTTTGAAAGAATGCCTTTCCGGGACATTGTGGTGTGGAACATTGCTATCGCGGGATATTCACAGGTAGGGAATCTCACCTTTGCAAAGAAAATGTTTAGCGAGATGCCGGAACATTTGGACACTGTGTCCTGGAATACTATGATCACAGCATATGCCCAAAACGGGCATCTCAATCATGGCATTGCGCATTTTTTCATGCTCCAAGTAGAAGGCATCGCTCCTGACGAGGTCACTTTCATGACAATCTTGACTGCTTGCAGCCGGATTGGTATGCTCGCCACTGGTTTGGAGTGTTTCATGCTGATGCAACGCGATCATGGATTGGAGCCAAGCAAAGAACACTTCAACACAATGATCGACATCCTCTCTCGAGCTGGAGAGCTCCAAAACGCGAAAGATTTGATCAATTCCATGCCGCATTCTCCAAACGATGTGTCTCTTGGAAGTCTCCTCGGCGCTTGTGAATTGGATCAAAACTCCAAGAAACTGGGGGCTCAAGCAGCTGCCAGAATGGATCCCAAGAGCCCATCACCGTACATCTCCATGGCTGGATTCTTCGCCAAAAGCTCTAGCTCGGCTGCTTCGGTTAAAGTAACGAATGTACGGTAGCTCTGTTTAGCTAACGAAGTAAGCTCCGTTAAAAACCGACTGAGGAGCGAATCAAATCGTGTGAAGGCAAGGGCTAGCCAAGTGTTTGCTTCCATGGCTCTGTTTTCTAGGGTTTCCACTCCTTCGTGTGTTTGGAATGGGAGAGGAGAAGGCAAATTTCTCCACTGCTCGACGCATTCCTGGAAATGTCGAGCGGAGGTCGAAAGATCGGACAAAGCGAGTAAGTCGCGATGTTTCTTCCAGGCCAAAATTTCATTCTTTCTTTGCTAGGCTCCTCTTCTTCCTCTTCCCAATCTATGCTGGAGCGCTTGGAGCGCTTGACGCAATCGAGTAAGCCACGCTACCGAAATATTTCGATCCATCCCTCTTCGCGATCTCAGATATTTCTATCATTCGATCTCCAGGCAGCAGCAGCAGCAGCAGCAGCAATACAATCGCGAGCAAGCTCGTCGATCGCTACGGCAACAGCGAGGAGGGCTCGGATTTCTCCGTGCCACTGGTGTACTCGCGGTACAAGAAGCCCAAAATCTCGGTCCAGAGGAACATCAAGCGCCAGGAGTACCTAGACAAAGTCTCGCAGCGCGATGATTCTGGGACGTTTGCCACGATCGGGCTGTTCGTGCTCGTCCCACCGCTCGCGATTCTCGCAGTAGCGATCGCTGTGGGCTATGTCAATATCTTACCGTGATGAAACAAATACGCAAAATATTTCATATAGAAGTCCTAGGGTTCTTCTAGAGAGAAGCATGACCGGCCATGGATCCGGGGAAGGCGCCGATCGATCGCTACCAGGCAGGTCTGGCGCTCCTCTCCGATCTACAAGCCGATGGATCGTTGGCGGCCGGCAGCGTCGATGCTTCTCCCAAAATATTTCAGCTCCTCCGAGTGGTGCATGCGATCGAGAATGCCGCATTCTCGCCGATAGGGAAGGAGTGAGTGATCGATCATCGATCTACTATCTATACACCATCTCATTCTTCCTTCTTCTTTCTTCTTTTCCAGGCGAGTAGCGAATTTCAGGGCTGCAGCGCTAACACTAGTAGCTGATTTTCTCCGCTCGGATGAGGTGTGAATTTCTTTCACCATTCCTCTTCTTCTTTTCCTCGTCTATAGCTTTTCTTCCTTCGTGTTGACAAGAGAGAACTTTCCACAGGATCTTTCGCGTGGTTGCATCACGTTACTGGTAACGAGTAACATTCTCACGTTTAATAGAAGCCTTGAGTTTTATTGTTCTTTCCTTTTGATTTGATGTTTAGCGCGCAGGTGTAGGGGCTGCCGAGGAGCTCGAGAAGGTAAATGATGATTTGGCGACTGCAAACGCTAAAGTTGAAGAGCTCCAAGAAGCTCTGGCAAACGAGGCAAGTTCTTGATGGTTTTGGTTCTCACCTAAAGTTTTCTTTTCTCTCGTTGCATTAGGTGGCCAGCAAGGAAGCTCTGATGAAGGAGAATTTTGTGTTACGAACTCGTCTCCATGTACAGCAACAAGACCTCTTCCAGCACGACACTCAAAGCCGGTAAGCGAACTTTAAAGCCACAACTTGGCATGATAGGTGATCTCGTTTCCACAGGGATGTGGCTCATCACTTGCAGGCTCTTGGCAAAGACCGGGCTCAATTAGCTTCAGAGAAAGCAGTACTTGCGGAAGAGTGCAGTGTAAAATCAGGCATTCTAGAGCGTCAGGTACGTAGTTAGCTCATGTGACTTTTGAGGCTAGAATAAAATTTCTCGCAGGCAACGGCCATCGCACAACTCATGGACCAATGCGAGAAGGATGCCAAAGAGCGTGACAAAGTTGTCGAGTCCTTGAAGGCTATCAGTGAAGAAAAACATGTTTTCGAGGTGAATCTACGGCAGCACTCGAAGGTAAAAAGCTTTTGTACCAGCTTTGCTTTCTGTATCTAATCTTTCCTTTTGCAGGTTATCGAGAACTTGATACACGCAAACGCGGATCTCATTGAAACAGCCAACAACTTCAAAGCTAATCGCGGTTTGTAAAAAGGCATATTCGGGAAACTCCATTTGGTCGTTTCGTCCATGTATGGACTTCCTTTACTTTTTTTCGCTGTATATGTATAGCGCGTACAAGGTGGAAGGGATTTAGGCAGAGATGGCTATCGAGGTGCTCTCCGCTCTCGACAAGGCCAAGACACAATGGTACCACTTCACGACTATCGTCATCGCAGGGATGGGATTCTTCACAGACTCGTACGATCTTTTCTGCATTACGACAGTGACGAAGCTGCTGGGCCGTCTGTACTACTATGATCCCTCGACAGGCAAACCAGGTACTCTTCCGGCCAATGTTTCTTCCGCAGTAACTGCCGTGGCTCTCTGTGGAACTTTCGCCGGCCAGCTTTTCTTCGGCTGGCTCGGGGACCGAATGGGACGGAAGAAAGTCTATGGCATCACTCTGATGCTAATGTTCTTCTCAGCGATAGCCTCGGGCCTCTCATTCGGTCACTCGGCGAAGTCAGTGATTGGGACGCTGTGCTTCTTCCGGTTCTGGCTGGGTTTTGGTATTGGCGGAGACTATCCATTATCAGCAACGATCATGTCCGAGTATGCCAACCAGAAGACCAGAGGCGCCTTCATTGCGGCGGTCTTTGCCATGCAAGGCTTTGGGATTCTAGCAGGTGCCGCGGTTTCTCTGCTGGTGTCTGCCATCTTCAGGCACGCATATCCGAGTCCGGCCTTCATCGTCGATCACGTTGCTTCAACTCCTCCTGAGGCTGACTACGTGTGGAGGATCATTCTCATGCTTGGAGCAGTCCCGGCGGCGTTAACTTACTACTGGAGGATGAAGATGCCGGAGACGGCTCGCTACACAGCTCTGGTGGAAGGCAACGTGAGCCAGGCAGCGGAAGACATGAGCAAGGTGTTACAGGTCCGGATCGATGCTACTATTACTAGCTCGGAAGCTGAGGTACAGCAGTCTCGACCGCAGCCTCCAACGTACAAGCTTTTCTCGAGGGAGTTCGTGAGAAGGCACGGGCTCCATCTCCTGGGGACAACCACGACTTGGTTCCTCCTCGATATCGCCTTCTACAGCCAGAACCTCTTCCAGAAGGACGTGTTCACGGCCGTGGGGTGGCTCGAGAGTGCCAAGAAGATGAGCGCGCTAGAGGAAGTTTACAGGATCTCGAGAGCCCAGGCGCTGATAGCTCTGTGCTCCACGGTTCCAGGATACTGGGTGACAGTCCTCCTCATCGACAAGCTCGGCCGCTTCGTGATCCAGCTCATCGGCTTCTTCTTCATGACGGTGTTTATGTTCGCACTGGCCGTGCCTTACCACTACCTCAAGGATCATCACACCGCGTTCATAGTCCTGTACGCGTTCACGTTCTTCTTCGCCAACTTCGGCCCGAATGCCACCACCTTCATCGTCCCGGCGGAGCTGTTCCCGGCGCGGCTGCGCTCGACGTGCCATGGGATATCGGCGGCGGCTGGCAAGGCCGGGGCCATTGTTGGATCGTTTGGGTTCCTGTACGCGAGCCAGAGCAGGCACAGCAGCGAGATCGACAAGGGGTACCACACGGGGATTGGTTTGAGGAACGCGCTCATCGTGCTGGGATTTTGCAACTCGCTGGGGCTGGTCTTCTCGCTGCTGGTGCCCGAGACCAAAGGAAAGTCGCTCGAGGAACTCTCTGGGGAGGAACCTCTGTAGAATATTCCCTTAATTTTTTATTCGAAATTTATCCTAAAAATTAAAAATCTTGATGAATAATTAGATCATTTATTAGAATCATATATCTTGCTCTAGCATATATTGTTATTAGGTTCCTCAGATTGTTTCTGTGGGATAATATAGACATGGTTCACTTTAATGTGGACCATATTTGTGCCAGCATTTACATGAATGCAATGTTCCCTCTTTAGCCTTCATCTTCTTTTCACGTCCATGTTCATGATGGAATGGTGCTTTCCATACGGGGATTTTGGGTGGAGTCCTAGTGCGAATTTTTGTGCTTGCAAGCACTACAGATCATTAGTAGGAACAAATAGCCTGTGGCAGTCCTGGCTGTCAAAAGTGGTATGTGATATTTTTTTTCAATTTCTGCAGATCAAGAACTATACATACATACCCCATATAGCAAAGTTTGGTAAGTTTACGTGTTTGTGGATGTGAAGGACCTGACTATATATTATTTACCCGATGCAGATATGGAGGTACACATTGAGCCTGCTAACTTTAACATATCGGTGTAGCAAGGTGCCATTTGATTTAAAATATAGCGTCAACTTTCCATCATGTCTGCTCTGGTAATATCTTCCCACAGCTACTATTGCATCTCTAACAATTTACATGATGTTCCCAATGATAAATAGGCCACTGAAATGCAAGGACAAGTGGGAGTGAATCATACATTGTCTAAGAACTTCAGCTTCAATAAGTAGGTATTATAGACTTTTTGCTAGTGCGTAAACATATTTTCTCTTTTAGGCATGGGTTCCCTATCTAGAGTTTATGTTGAGAGGAGTAGACTTGGAAAAGAGTAAGCTTTGTCAACTGCCCACCATTTTCTAGACAATTTCTAATCTATAATAATAAAAATGAAGAACCTAACCTCGAAATATTTTCTTGATGTTTTCGCCAATAAATGAGAGACACAATTGGAGCGTCAATTGGCTCATGCGAGAGAAGGAAATATAACATATGTCACATGTACGCCCCGCTATGTTAAGAAAGTCTGGGGCATAAGAGATTGACGCACTTGCTCTTCTCTCACATTCGAACTCTTCCACTCCAAGCTGTGAGCAATCTTGCGTGGATTGATCAGGGTGTGGAGAATTTTCAAACCATTTTCTGGCATGAATTTGCTAACCAGGAGAAATTGGAAGGATATGAACTATCAGCTCTCTAGTTTGATATTGTAACTGATCTTATCAAAGACTATTTAACATAATATCATTTGTTTTTATTATTGCTTGGTATATATTCCAACACTGTTCCAGAGTACAGAGCATGCTAATATGGTCGTGTTCTTGTGTCATGGAACTCGATGGTCGCCGGCTACGTCGCGGTATCTGGGCTCCGCAACTGCCAGGAGATGTTTGATCGCGTCTCAGAGCGCCAGGCCGTGAGATGATGACGGCACACGCCCACTAGGGGCAAATCGCGATCGAATGCCGGCCAAGGATCTCGTGTCGTGGACGAATCTACTGCTGTGCTACCCCCGAGTGGATTCTAGGTAGAATCTGAAAGGCCGGCTCCCTTACAATCTGGCCGCCGCAAGAGGTTGATCAGGACGTGATGGCGTAGACGGCGATGTTGCAAAGGCTTCGTCGCGAAGAACACCTTCGATCAAATCCGGAGGAGAATCTAGTCTCGTGGAGCTTGATGCTACTCGCGTTTGGCGAGAATGGGCATTTCGACGAGGCCGTGAGTTTCTTCCACGAGAGACCATCGCCTGCTGGACGGCAGGTCAACTTGGGCGATCTCGGCCGTGCCGCGTGTTTCAGAGCATGAAGAGTACTCGGAGCTTGGTTCCATGGACGACCATGGTGTGCTCAAACGGGCACTACGATCATCCATATGATGAACCTCGAGGACGAGGTGACGTTCCGGAGCGCTAACTTCGTGCAGCCATGTCGGTCTTGTGGCCGAGGGGTGGGAGGAGAGAGCATCGATATCTTGGGTCGATCCGGGAGAATGAGCGCCGAGGAGCTCGGGAGTTTCGAGAGCGAGTGGAAGCTATCACTGGTCTCTGGTCGATCGCTGGCGTTGCTGTTTTCCTGTGATCTTCCACGCTGCTACCAGCGCATTTAAAAGGTCACCCTATTGGTATCGGGTCGGCTTTTTTTTCTCCCTAAACTTCCTCAAATGAAGATCCGGAAGATGAAAATTGCGTCCTCCTCTCGAGAAAGCCTTACTGGTTTTAAAAAGTTTTGGAGGATCTTTGCCAGCAATGATGTTGAAAGAAACTTTGCAGGGAAGCCGAGATCGCGATATGGAGAGTGGAGAGATCAGACGTGTTTTAGCCGAATCGCCATCGAACAAAGAGCTGCTCGTGTCGAAAGCGGTGTCGAGACGCAAAGGCTGCAGGTTCTTTTTTTATTTTCGTTGATTCATCTATGAAACAATGGTGACTGTTTTTCTTGCGGATAATGAGGAGGAGCTACCGCAATCTATCAAATAGAAAGAAGCATGCAAATCCGGGCATCTAGCGAAGGTTTTTCTTTCTTACATTCCTTTCGTTTTCTGGATCATGGTAGCACCTTCTCGGAGCTGGAACACGCACTGCAAAGCATCGAGGAGTTATAAAAGCCTGCAAGCTCAAGGCAATCGCTATCAGGGTCTAGGCATTAAAACTGTATGGTTTTTTTTTTTTTTTTTTGTTTTTTTGGTTTTCTGAGATTTAGGGTTTAGTCAGACCATCTTCCGCGGGAGCATTTCATCGCCAGGTGGATTTCTTGCGATTTCGACAATGCTAACGCCCCTTTCAGACGAGCGCGCGGTGGATTGTCTCGCGACGCTACATCTCTCTTGTCCAAGCCGTCGTGCGCGTCACTCCACACATCCAGGTCGGCTCATTCTTGCCTCCGAGAGGAACGCGAGTGTGTGTCCCGCCTCCACGCAGCTCAAGCTCCTGCGCTTTCTTGTGAGTTTCGTCCCGGCGGTAGTGTCCACAAGGGAAGTGGTGGTGCCTCACCGGGAAAACTTGCTGGTTGCGCATGCCCCACCTTCTTCTCCAGGATCGCTGCGGTCCAGTCCTCCCTCCTCTTGGCTGAGACTGGCTGCCAAGGCCTTGCTACTTCGCTCGCTGATCCAGGTAGCGGATTTTCTTTTCTTTCCATCTGGGATTTAAAAGACTCAATGCAGGGTGAATGGCTTGTACGAAAACTACGTCTCCGAGCTTGAGACGTTGTCGTCGGAATTTCGGTGCCTCTGAAAATCCTCGCTACAACTACAAGGGATCCAGCTCGACTTTCGGCCAAGAAGGTGGGAAGTTTATAGTGGAGCTCTTGGTAACGAAATGGGTTCTCTTTTCAGGCGTTTTTTGTCGACCTTTACGTGAAAAGTTGGTACTTGGATCGCGAGAGAAGCCTTCCCAGGCGATCAGCGAAGCGTTTGAGCTTCTTTCCAAACTCGGTCCCGGCTGCTGTAAGGATGCTCAAGAGAAGCCCCGACCTCTTTTTGGAGTTCTTTTGAAGCGGACCTGACCAGATATACGGGCGAGGTTCTACCCGTTGTTTTGCTTCAATCTCGACATAGCGACGAAGGGGAAGCGCTGCAAATTCTCAGAAACGGCACAGAGTCCCTGTTAACAGGAGGTTAGATGTTTAAAAGCATTTCTAGCTCGCAACTTAACGTGGTCTTGTGCCAGGATCTGAGGGTAAACTGACGTTCGTCTACCAGAGGCTGGGATTGATCAATGCTTTACGCGCCATTTGTGACGCTTGTTGCAGGTGTTATCAGCTCATTGCTTATTCACTGTACAAAGACGACGGTGAGTTTTGGTGCTGGCTTCGATATTTTTGCTTCTTACACAGTATGCGACAGACAGGAAACGAGGAAGTCCGAGTGGCAATTCTATTATCTCTGGGTTCGTCACTTAGAAAAGCCGAGCGTAACTTGCCAGCTGAGTGCTCAAGTTTCTTTTTGGCTGGGCTTGAATATGAGGTGAGCACACTTACGATGTCTTCGCCAGGCATTTTTCGATGAAGAACTTTCACTTCCTGTGGGTTTGGTGCTTTTTAAGTCGTGCGTTCTGTTCTGAAACGATTTTTGTTTCTTTTTGCAGGCGATCCCGCTAGTTGATCAATTGGTCCAACTATCGAAAAGTGGTATAACAAAGGATTTATGCTCTTCTTTTGCTACTCAAGATTGCATCCATCGATAGCAGAGCTGGTGAGAATTCAAACAACATTTTGCGTTTATACTCGTTTTTCTTTGTACTGTTATAGATGCAAGATGATCAAGGAAATGATTATTTCGTCAGTAACGATTTCGGAGTCTACGTTTTCCCCGACAGTTGTATATGTTTTTCATTCCTTCAGTTTGGTCTGATCTAACAACGGATGAACAGAACCTGAAATGCAAATGGAAGACTGGTGCGTCGATAGAACTGCTTGAAGATCTATCGAATTACCAGCCAAATCTAAACGTTTGCATAAAATTTTCCTTGGCTGCAGAGGAGCCAACGAGGGGCTAACAGAACTTTCCAAAGTGATGGAATAAATCATTTGCTAACAATGACGAATGATTTTCTTGCTGCAGAGCCTTTTAAGCTTTCTTTTGGAACCAGTCATGGCATGTAAGGAGAGCTGCAGTAGCGTATGCGGAGGAGCTTTTCAAGTCCTTTCTGAATTGGCTTCCCACTTTACATGATCTTCAATTCGCAAATGAGGTAAAATTTACTGCTATACTCTTCAAGCTTCCATTTTCTAATACAGATGTGCAGTGGAAGCGAGAGTGACAGTTCGCCTTCAGAGGTTCCACCATCAGATGCTTTCTAAAGCAGGATGTGCATCACTAGTGCCGGATCCCTTGTATTCTACGCATTTTCTAATAGTTTTTCACCATGACTGGATCTTGTGTGGTAAAAAAAGTACTTCGTATTGGAAGGTAAGAAACCTTTCTTTCTGTGGTTTATGCATATGACTCCTTTGCCAGGACTTTGCAAGACGCTTAAGTATTTTATTCGCGCCGTCCTAAGATCTGATCCCGGCGCTGTCGGAAGGTTATTATTTGACTTCTACTGATTAGCCACACATACACTTGCTCAGGTTCTAGCCGGTGCGAACGGATTGACCAGTGAACAGCCGGCTATCTCAAAAGCAGCGATCTTTGCTTCTGGTTTAGTCACGCATTTTATTCCTGATGAAATGCTCAATCATTTGATTCATGTAGGTGCTGTCTTCTTTTCATATGAATTACATACTTATTTCCTTGCAGGGCGTAAGTGATCTAGCTGATTGGAGCTCTCACAATGGTCTCAATGACAAGGTGGATTATACGCACGAAGTAGCTTAAGACTGAGCCTTTCTTGGCAGATATTCAACACTCCTTCTGGTGGTGTGTAGCAGGCAAAATGACGATTTAAAATGGCAGTGACTCCGGAAGTGAAGAGGTTAGCAGATTGTTTTGTCATTCTGGTGGCTAATGAAACTTGCTGTAGGACACAATGTCGAAGTCTGTTTCACGGCGTCTGCGCCTAGAGACGCGAGTAAAGCTTCTAGAAAGACTGCTGCTTTTAATGTTTTCTCAATATTTGCTCATTTTATAATTTCTTGTTTTTCAGGTGAATCAAAACCAATGAAAGAAGAAGCAAGAGATTTGGTTTTGAAAGAAGAGGCTATTGTCCATGCCACTTAAAGACGCGGTTCACTGTGGTTATAAGAGCAATTGCAGCTATTGCGGATCCTGCTTTGGTAAGTTATGTTCATTACTGTGTAGTTTTCACTCATATTTGAGGAATGACCAGATCCCGCTTGTCCTCCCACTTCTGAAGTCGCCAATTGTGAGTGATGAAGCGTTCCGGACGATGGTCGTATTAACGGGATTGGTGACTGCAGTTCCCAGACACCTAACGAAAATCTTGGTGTCGTTGTTTTCTCTACAAGTTTATTTGGATAACGAGAAAGGCGTTATTCACACGGTGATCACCACGGGGATTGTAAGCTTGGACTGTAGTTTTTCCGGTATCGGTATGAGTTCTCTGAGTTTGTTTCTAATCTAAACTGTATTCTTGACAGATTGTTGAGCAAGTCCTGTTCCTGACGGCCTACTTCGTGTCTTGCCATGGACGAGTATCCAAGCAGCATTCAAGTAAGGTTTTCTGTATTTATTTATTCTCGTGCTTACGTTGCTCTCAGGAAACACTATCGGCTTTGTTTACCCTCTATTCGAGTGGAGGCAATCATGTTGATCCTGGTTGGTCTGGAAGACAAGTGTATCGTTAGCCCTCGAAGCAGCTGCAGACATACTTACTGCCAAAGGCTTACCAGTTTTATCAACTTTTCTTTTTCTCGAGCCTTGGTACGTCGCTCTGCTGAATAAACAAGTTAAATGTATCCGTTTATTTCCTACAGGCTTATTCAAACTCTGACGTCCGGTCTAAAATGGTGGAAGCTGGCGTAGCAGTTCTCGATAAACATGGAAAACGGTTCTCCTTCCTATATTGAAAACTATTGAAGTAGAAAGGTACGTGCTTCAAATCTGAATGTTTTGTTTGTATTTACTCTGACTTTCTCTCTCAGGTGAATTTGTTTTCGGTAGCTACCAACTAACTAGGATGATCCGAAAGTAGTTGTCATTCTGGAAAGATGGCTCGAAGCACTGAAAACTCCTTCAGAATCAGTTCAACGTGCTGTCTCAAACTTCCTAGCTTCTTTTATTGCTAGTCCACCAGGTATTTCATTTGAATTTGGATAATCTAGTAACTTGGTTGTCAGGTGGATTCTGAGAAACTTGCAAAAAGTTTGCTTGAACAACTTGTGCAATCAGAGAAATATGGAGAGCACTGTGGAGCAGCCTTTGGATTGGCCGGGGTAGTGAAGGGGAAGGGATTGTCTTGCTTGAAGAAGTTCGATGTAATCCGAGAAACTTGGGGAGCCATAAGAATTTATTCTACTAGAAATTGCTTTTGTTAAACATTTTTTGTTGCAGGTGCGTAATACGAATCCTGTCAGAGATGCTTGTGTGTTTCTCCGATTCCGTTTCAGCAGTATACGAGGCGGCTGATCGGACAATTATTTCGCAACTTACCGGCCAAGGTGTTAAACTTGTCTTACCAGCTCTATTCAAGGTGAAAGTATCACACAACTGAAGTTACGTTCTTTTAGCTCAACGGTGTATAATTATTAATTTAGGGGCTAGAAGACCGAGCATGGCGTACTAAACATGGAAGTGTTCAACTGCTTGGGGCTATGACTTTTTGTGCTCCTCGGCAGCTCTCGCAATGCTTTAGTGAGGTAAAATATTTATTTTGAAATATATATGATACTCAACTTGTCCACAAGTGTATCCATTCTAGTTTATTTTCTTTGATGGATTGGACAAGTGTTTGAGTTGATCTAGCATATCTAACAGTTTTAAATACTTGTTTCTTTTTCTAAGGTGATTTGCTTGGTACAAGGTGGGAAGGGTCGTATTGTTTCCTTGGTGTTTGCTGGAAATTTCAGGCAAACTAAACAATTTAGTCAATTTAAAATTTACAAATAAATTGGCAGATTGGTCTAGGTTCAAATCCCACTCTCAACATTTATTAGTACTAGGGTTGAGGGTTTTATTTAGGGCAGAATGGAAGCCTGAAGTTTTCTCTTTTCACCCGCATTGTCTCTAAGGATAGTATGGAAAACAATCAGGTATTTTATATGCATGTCTTCATCCTTTGTGCTTTCACTTACAAAAAAGTTTTCATGGCAGAAGGCAACCACATCAGCTCAGGTGGCATCCGAGTTTGTAAGGAACGATGAGACTGCTCAAACATGTCTTCGTATTGTTCAGTGGCTCAAGAGCTTGGTAGCCAAGGAAAAAGAAGGTAAAACTCTTCCATGGACAACATGCATGGCTACAAATGTTATTGTTACAGAGGACTGTGGGACTACACTCTAAAGCTACAAAACATGCAGTCATAAAAAATAAAAAAAAGTCGAAATCTACTTTGGAGTTAAGAGTTTTTCTTAACAAGGTTTTGTTTCAGAAAATGGCTAGAGCTTTCTCGCCGACATCCTTCAAGTGTGATCGATTCATCTTCCACTTGGCCACAACAGGCTCGTGGTGTTATCCACTTGTTTCAAGAGCTGTACTCTAGGTATGCATCTCGTTTTTTATCATGAACTCGTTTTATCATGGATTGGTGCTAACTTTTTACTTGTCTCGTATTTGTGACACTCTCTAAGGAACAGCATCGACTTAAATACAGGTAAGTTTCCTGTTTCTAACAGTTCGTTATTGTTTTCCGTTGAAACAGACAGATGCACCGTGCACGTCGTGGTGTCTGACACAGCAGCCTTAATGGAAATGCTGGAAACGTGGACTGGATTCTTCCCAGCCGAGAGAGACGACAGTTCTGACATCAAGTATGTACTCCTTGATCATGCTGCTGCCTTAAGCTGTGTTTCTGTCAGGCCACACGGGCATCCTCATATTCCGTTTCGACGCACATTTGGTCCTCGTTTTGCGGTCGATTCTTCCGGAAGGACTTTAAGGGGTGAGGCCTGAAATTGTCGGAGATTTAAATCCTGATGAACACGGATTATGGATTGTCACTTCCATCTTATAGGTACATTACTTTTATATTCAGACAACATGAGGACGAGCTCATTGGTCCTTGTGCTTCTCAAACCCACACTTGTAGCTACAGTGACAGGTACTGTATTTGTTTGTCTATATCGATCTGGTCGGCGCTCTATATGTTAAAATTCTCTTCTCGGGAGAAGTCATGTGAAATCAAAACATCTCAATCTGTGCGATTCCGAGCTGAGCTAGCTTGCTCTTTTGCTTTGCACAGCACAAAGTATATTGCTGGTAATTGAATAGTGATGCTGCTGTTAATTTTTTTGTCATTCGGTTGCACTCACATGTTACTACATAGAGATCTTGCGAACGTCACTATGGTGTAGTGTAGAGGTCCTAGAAGGCGTGCAAGCACTTTTTGGACGGTATGTTGCTGCTTGTTTTTGCTTTTTCTTTTCTGGTGCTTGGTTCTTTTAGCAAGAATGTTTTTCTCAGGGTTTTATTCAAAGCTACTTTTTAGCATTTTGAATAATTATGACTGTTTAATTAAGTATAACCCTAACCCCACTGGAAAAAAGATTCGACAACAATTTGATGCATATTCAGGTTGTTAGGGTTATTATTGACATACATGGATCAAAGGTTTCCATTCAAGCAACTTGTGGGTTTTTTGAATTCCTTTAGCTTGGGTGAGAAGCAACACAAAAGGTTTAGCCTTAGGGTTAATAACACCATTTCTCTCCCGTCCTCTCACTCTCTCTTTTTTGTTTTGATGTCAGGGTGGCAAGGGTGATATACTATAGCAGCACAGTGTGGCCGTGGCTGCGGCAGTGGGAGGGCAAACAAGGTAGGAGCCTCCATCAATCCATATGCAGGAGCAGACTCGGGAGAAGCTATGATCGGAGAGGGGCCTGGTTTGGGTGCAGCCTTAGGAGATGCCGTGATCAGAGAGGGGCCTACTTCAACTGCAGGAGATCAAGTTGCCGTGTTCAACGGGGTAAACCCTCGACTAGGTGTTGAGGATAGTGCTGCTGTGAGAATAGTGCGAGGCTGCAAAGAGGGATCCAAGGGCAGGAGACCCTCATCATCCTCCGAGTCCCAAACGTAGACTTAGTAGGCCTCCGGATATGGTCTGGAAATACATCTTCTACGACTCTTTAGCACTCAGGGAGAGGAACTTGGAAAACACCGAGGCAGATCCTTGACGTTTCAACACCGACAAAGCTAGTTGGGAGGCAGTGGTTAGGTGTGTCTTATGCAAAGGTCCCGTGAAGGGAATTGGACCTATGGGGATCAAGAGGCATCTTTGTATCTTCTACAAGGAGAAGGAGGACATAGGTTACTACATTGCTGACATAAGTTTGCATTGCAGGCCAATACAAGAGTTCAGTGAGGAGTTTGTGTCTATAACAAGGAACAATATTGAGACGTACAACATCAAGCTTGTGGAGTTTAAACAACATGGCAGTGGTAGAATGACATGGTTCAGCAATCAAGGAGTTTCAGGGTCACAGCAATTGGATGAAGATGCCTACAATGTTGGAGGATCGACATCAACTCCTCAAGCTAGTGGGAGTATTGAACACAGGCCAAAATTGAACATGTTTGCCTTTCCGAGCGATAACGACAACAAAGCATGGGAATGGATAGAATGTTTGGAGGGTGAAGACTAGGTTGATGCAGAGCAGTTGTGGCAGCAGGTTCGAGAGACTGAGTTAGCTACAATTGGCTGCATCTCTGTGGGTGGTTTACGTGCAGCTAGGAATCAGATCGATATAATAGTGTCTACTACATCGCCTTAGACAAGTTCAACAAATTGTATCTTGCAGGAAACAATAGCTCTCAAAGGAATCACAGGAAGGGTGTTGACCCTTGAAGAACTTAGGGCATGGTAGAAGGAGTATGCATTGGGAGTTTATATCAAGGCCAGAGCGTTCAACCTAGTAGTTGGTAGACATGCCCAATGCGGTTCCATGTTTCCTTTGCCTTTGCTGAAGGCTTTGCGTGAAGACTTCTTGGATGAGATATACCATGAAACGGTTGAGCGCATTGATCAACAACTTGAGAAAGCTACAGGTGCGTACAGCCCACGACTGCCTTGCTTAGTAATGGACAGTTGGAAGACAGTTAGTGGGTTGCATATTTAGAATATTATGATCGTTGATGCAGCACACCATGAAGAGTTTTTTTGTGGCTCATTTGAGTGCTATGAATCTTTAGGTATGTGTTGTTTTTTCATGTAACGTCCAATTAACTTGTTTGCTTTACAATGCAGTTGATATCTTGTATAGCAAATTGAAGAGTGTGGTTTTGGCTATAAATACTCGGGTACTTGCTGATGACGCAAATGTAGCCAAAAGCAACATCCCTGGTAGTGGAACATATTACATGATCAAATGCGGCGTATAGAGAGGAAGTGTGGATTATCATCAATAGTAACGGACAATGCGGCCAACATGTGGCTTGTTGGATGCAAATTCAAAACTGAGTTTGAAGATATGTGGAGTGTTCCATGTTAGTGTCATGCTCTGAACCTTGTACTAATGTCTTGGGCAGGTTTGGACAACATCAAACAATATCTAGACATAGGGAAGTGTATAGTTCAATTTGTGAAGAACTCCACTCGTGTGCATGCTTTTTATCAAGTTCAGCATCCTAAGTGGCAATTCGTCAGACCTGTCATTACTCGGTGAGTATTAGAGTTGTGTAATTGTCTGTTACTGACTTTAACACTTTTTTTGTTTCTTTCACAAGTTTGGAAACTATTATTACATGCCCAGGTGATTATGGGAAGAGTGTGGAGCATTGCAGAGGTTGTTTAGGAATACTAGATTTAAAGATTGGCTACGAAGCCAACTTGCAACAACAACAAAGACTACTAACCAAGCCATGACAGCAGTGGAGGATTTTAATTTCTGGGCG